TCCAAATTAATTAAATTAAACCTGGGATATTTAGCTCCGAGGATGTCTTTCTGGCCGTACTTCCTCCAGTTAAAGCCGTCCTCCAATTGTCCCTCAATCCCCATTTCCAATGACACTTTCACCTTTTGTGTCCACTTTGCAGCACTCATTCTGCACACATATACATATTCATAAACATTAAAAACATTGAAATTGTAACAACATTTGAAAAACAAAATATACCAATAAGAAAAAATGTCACGTCTCATGAATTTTGTACATATATAAGCTTTAATTTATAAATTAATTTTCAAAAATTAAGTGACCTTCTCCCATGTGGTGGATGATCCTTATTGGGCTCAACTTGATCCGAGTCGTCACTGGCTGCTGACCTCGGCGAGTCCTGATTCGTGGGACGGCGGTTTCCGAGCATGGAGATTGCCTGGTCGTACGAATGGATTATTTTCCCTATCAAAGGATCGTAATTTTCGGAGGATCGCGAGTTGATGAGGTGGCTCTGCAGTTGCATGGCTTGCTCCCGACCTCGAGATAGCTCTTGCATTACATTTTCCAAATCAGCATTCGAAACGAAGTTTTCCATTTTTATTTTTTTTGGTTTGTCACAACAAATGATAGTAAAAATGAAATCAAATGTTGGTTGTTTTGTATGATTGTGTATAGAAAACCATGCAAGAAATTGATCAATTTGAAAATATATATTATAAAGTTGAATTTGATAATGAGAACAGGAGTTGTAATTAATGAAGTGAAAAGCATTGAAGAGGATGTTGTGTATATATATACCACTAGAAGAAGTGAAAAAAATTAAACCAGGGAAAAATTGGAGGTTTGAATTTTGAATGTAGAAAAAAATGGAGGAGAAAGAAAATGAGAAAGAGAAAAGAGAAGACATGCAGAAACATAAAGTGGAAGAATAGTATAGAGTACTTTGACTGAGGAAAAAATTGACCAGTTTTGATTGTGGTTTGGGGCAAATTGACCGGTCTTTGGTTATACGAATTGTATTTTAAGGCTAATCAAGTCAAAATGTTGACCATTCAAACCTCACCAAGAATTATCAAGATTGCTAACTCACAATTCATTAGTACCAAACCAGAAAAAGAAAAAGAAAATTAAGTTCTGGTGGTTACCTCTAAACAGTCAATAAATCTTGATGAAGCATAAATGTTTACTTATGGAGGATAAAATAAAAATAAAAAATTACGAAAGACAATGTAATTGAGTTACTACTAGGCATATATATATATATTTGTAAAATTGACATATTTTAATGATGAAATGTAATGCTTAATATTTTTTAGTTGGGTACCCCGTAATGTTTTTTGAAAAGATCTCATATATCTACATATATTTTTGAACTTATATTTAACAAAATTTTATCTTTTCTAATTTAAATATATTAATGTTTTACTAAAAAATATACCATAAAAAATATGTAGCTTGTAAAAATTTTCCTAATTTATCTAACATGTCCATCATGGTACTAATGGTGAATTTCACCCTATCATGTGGGCATTGTCACACGGGCATTTTAACTGTATGATTAATTACATATTTTTATCGATGTGTGTATCCGTTATCAAACGAATAAAATCTTCGTAGGGCAATACGACTGGTAGTAGATTCTCCTTTTCTACTTCATATATATTCATTTTTTTTTTAATTATAGTACATACCATTTTATATAGTAAACTTTCATCTTTTTTAAGTGCTTCTTAGGTTGTTAAGACCAAAATATTTATGTTTTGATTTAAGATATATTCAACCATCACTGATTTTAGCTTAAGTAAAAATATGACATTGCAAGAAACCTAATTTTTCTCCCTTTCTCATCCTTTTCTCTCACCTGTCGTTGCTCTCCTCTTCATCATATAGTTGCCTTCCTCAACGATAGTCGGGCCTTCGTCGGTGGTCGGCCTTTGACTGCACAGCCTTCGTTTCGATGTTGCGTCTTAGTGTCAATTAGTGTCGGCGGTTGCGGATGGTCTCCAGCGGCCAGATTTCACCGTTTCAATCAGGTATCAGTTTGTAGTCTCTGGTCGTCGGCCTCCCTGGATTACTTTGGCACTGGGCGAGGTGTGGTACCTTGGGTTGGGCGTGGCTCAGGCCGCTCGCAGCGTCTGAGTCAGGGTGGCCGGGGCTGAGGTGTCAATCTTGCCCTCTTCTCCCATGTTCTCTGGTGTTGGGTCCGCGGGGGGAGGGGGGGTGTTGCCGTAATTGACAAGTGGTGTTGGCCGGTCCGAGGCAGTGGTGGTGTGGGGATCGAGTTTGGTGTTCCTCCAGCTGGGGGGCAGGTTGGCATTCTGGTTTGGTTCGGGGCTTGGGTTTCGGCTTCGGTTAAGCAGTTTTTGGCAGTTTTGGAAGCAGTTTCCCGAGCTGCGGATTTCTCCTTGAGGTCGACTATTTGTCCGCTGGTACGGTTCGGTCGATCTGTTGTGGAAGGGCTCGATTTTAATTTGTTTGATTTATTTAAGTGTGTTTGTTTGTGTTGTTTAGGGGATGTGATTTTGGTCACTGGGGGTTGGGTCTTTGGCCTTTGTTTTGCCAGAGTGAGAGCAGGTATTATCCTGGTGGTATCGGTGATTCTCCATTATTGGCGCTTTGTAGTGTTTTTTTTATTGTGTGTTGTGGTGTGGGTATGTTGGTCTACTGTTGCTAGTGTAGGCTATAGGCGATCTTCAGAATTGTTCTCCCTGTTTTATTCAACTTTTAGTTGTAGCATTCACTTACGAGTTGTTTTTCTGTTTGCACATTTGTACGTTTTATAAAATCTCTATCGTTCCGGGGAAAGAAAAATATTATTTGGAAAAATGGTTTGTTTCAAATTAACTTTTTTCACTCCAATTGAAGATAAATTAGCGGATTGGACTTAATTGAGAGGTTTTGGCCCGTCAAATCCGCTATTGAGCTTGTTTGGTAAATAGCTTATTTGATAAGCTTTTTGGACCCAAAACTCTAATTTAGAAAAAGCCCATTAGAGCAGCTTTTTGGGATAGAGGATTCACAATTGAGAGGTTTTAGTTGGAACTTTTTAATTTGTCTTATTTATTTTACAATCTATATTAGTTCATGGAGCTAATATATAATAATATGTCATCCATATGATTAATTTATTTAGAAAAATATAAAATTCATAACTTTTTCATCAAGTGTTAGTAAATTTTAAAATATATATATATATAT